CCAAAGAGCCATTTCAATTTGAAAGGAATCTAGGCAGAACGAGGGAACTAGCAGAAATGCAATGAAATAGAAAGGGGTAATTACACTGGAAAGGAAAAGAAGAATAAGATAAAGATGATTATGATGATGATGATGATGATTGAAAGGACAATAACCATGAAGTGATGAAAATCAAGTTTTTGAAAATTGATTACCTTTTAAAATAATCCTTTACGTAACTTAGTGACACTTACAATTTCCTATTTTTCTCTTACAAAATTTAAATGATGACACTTAGATCTTAATGAAGATAGCTATTCTGAATTTCACAGGGGAAAAAGAAAAAGATAATTGTTCTGAAAGGAAGAGTATCTAGTGGATATATGATACGTGAACTAGATTATTCAAAAATTAAACTCAATCTATAATTAAGAAAAACAAAAGAAGCCATATAATTGGCAGCAGTAGGCTTACCTTTTCCTCTTCTTTGAACTGAAATCAACTTCAAGTTTTGCATATACTTTTTTGGCCAGCTTGGGGGCCTGATCATTGTGGGGTTGAGCTTTAGACACAAATACAATATACCATTCCCGTTCATCATAATCAGATGTAGCAACCTACCTAAATAACCAAACCTCTCGCATCCACCCTACATATAGGAACAATTTCGGCACGATGAAATTGCTTCTTGATCTGCAAAATAGTATATAATACGCATAAACTCTTTGCAGCTCAACATGCAAAAGGTTTCTTGAAATACTATCTAACTTGAAAGGAGGACACAACTAAATCTTTATCTAAACAATTATCAGTTGGTGGCCCCAATACCAGTTACAGAGAGTCTAAAACAGCATCGCACAACCTGTCAAAGTTTAGCTATGTTGATCACTTAAAAATGTATGGATATAGAAGTAGTAAGTATCACGAGTGTTAATACACCACAATGAGACTTAGATGAAATTATAAAAATGTTTTATTTTTATTTATTATTTTGTTTTCCTGATGTCCGTAGACCATGTGACCTCTGTCATGGCATCCTTTTGATTATCTACCACGAGAGAATAAATTATGGAAATATGAATATGTATGATGTATTTAGTATTTTTTTATAGTACATTAATTCTGTGTGCATTCTTATATTCTTTGAGAGTTTAAGCATGTAATATTGACCTCATGCCTCACTTTCAAATTTATGCCTCAAAACAGTTTATATATATAAATATTATTATTATTTTTTAATCTCATTTTATAATATTTCTCATGTAAATGAGACCTTATGTCAATTGATTAAGTGCCAAAATGATATTCATTTGAAATTGAATGCTTTTTTTACATGTATAACGTAGTCAACTTTGATACTGCACTTACTGGCTTTGCTTTCTCGTTGATCTCTGTTGTGTTTCCTCTCATGTCAAGAAACTGTTTAGTATCCTACTTTTTTCTGTAAAAAAAGGGCTAGTGACATGATTAGAGCATGAAAATTATTACATGCCCTAAAGTAAAAACATAGGCGACAGATTCAATTTGTTTATTGCAACAAGCTGGTGAATGATCACCATTATGATCATGATATTGTATCTCTTAAGCAAATAAACAAAGTGATTATTACAATTAGTTTGTAATTGTTAATTAAAGGCTAGGTTGAAACTACTAGAAAATTGATGGGATAAGCCTACCAGTCCTTGCTGCATCAACTACGTGGATGGATTTTTTGCATCTAACACCTTTTAGTAAACTGAAGTGTTTTCTTTTGAACTTCAGACTACTGTATTATACCAAGAGGGTTTTAGATGCTTTTCGGCAATTCCCTTCATGAGGTGTCATTTTCATTGTATTTGATCAACTGCTTTCCCAATTTCCTTTTGGGAATTCATTCTATCATCTTCTCTTGTGATTTTGAATGCTTTATCAAATAATGTATGAGTCCAATTTCATACTAAACTTTCGTAATTTGGACTTGATTCAAAAGTACTTGTACATGTTAATACTTGCTTTGGGATTATTTCCATGATACACTGAACTTGCTTTGTTTGAGTTAAGACCATAGGACTTGATTCAAAAGTACTTATACATGTTAATACTTGCTTTGGGATTATTTCCATGATACACTGAACTTGCTTTGTTTGAGTTAAGACCATATTAATACTTGCTTTGCTTGAGTTAAGACGAAGAGTCTTTCAAAGTACCTTTATAATGCTTTACATTAATTCTCTTACTTCAACTATCTTTGTAGGTCAAAGCTAGGATTGCGGGTTGCAGTTACCTTTTTTGTTGCCGCTATATTTTTTGGATGGTTGATGAAGAAGAAGAAGTTGCAAGAAGATATGAAGAATTTTTGTTTTATTTTGGTTAAGTAAATATGTAAGGTGTGGATCATGTACATGGTTAATTTTTATATTTGTATATGGTTAATTTTTGTATAAAACAATGATTTGGAATTGGTTATATATATATATGAATTGTAAATTATTTTGGTTATAATGTTATTTTTTATTTATTTAGGGTTCTGTAACGTTAGTAGTAATTAAAATAATAATAATAATAATAAAAGAGCCTTCACAAGGGCTAAAGTATTATTTTTTTTAAAAAATTATATAATACTTTCTACCACGGTTATGCACCGTGATAAAAAATCTATTTTTCTTCTGCGAATAGACTTTTTACCACAGTGAAGAACCGTGGTAGAAAAAATACTTTCTACCACGGTGTAAAAACCGTGGTAGAATGTCTATTTTCTACCATGGTGCAAAACCGTGGTAGAAAGTCGAACTTTCTAGCACGGTGCAAAACCGTGGTAGAATGTAGACTTTCTACCACGGTACAAAACCGTGGTAGAAGGCCAACTTTCTACCACGGCTGTTTCTACCACGGTTCAAAACCGTGGTAAAAAGACTTTTCCACCGTGGTAAAAAGTCATTTTTCTTGTAGTGCATCCTTCAACTTCCAAACTGACCCATTCAACTTGATTTGCACTTCACCCTTGCCAACGACCCTGCAAGGCTAATCATCACCAAGATACACCTTGCCAAGGTTACTCGGTTCATAGCTATTAAATAGCTCTTTGTTTGAGGTGCTATGAAACAATGCACCGGAATCTAAAACCCATGACTCCGCCTTGCTTTCCAAAGAGCATATCAATGCATCATCTGATTCTTCTGAGATAAAGTTTGCTTCAGTTTTTCTTTCGGTTCCCTTCTTTGACAGTCTGCAATCAACACGATAATGTCCCTTCTTTCTACAATTCCAACACTCAACATTATTGAGATCTGTGGAATTCCTGAAATTTTGAGACTGTGTCCTTCCATTCCTTGACTTGGCTCTACCTCTGTTTCTATTATTGTTGCCCTTCGTTTTGTTTGAACCCTTGCCTCTGCTTTCAACATTCAACGCCGAACCACTGGTGGAAACCCCTACTGTTTTCCTTCTGATTTCTTCAGTCAAAATCATGCTCACAACTTCATCAAACTTCAACTTCGTCTTCCCTGCAGAGCTACTAATCGCTGTAACTGTGCCACTCCAACTCTCGGGTAACTGCCCTAGAATTAGCAGTGCTCTGACCTTGTCTTTGAAGTCGATATCAACAGACTCTAATTGCCCAACTATCTCGTTGAATGCATTTAGATATTCGTTGAACTTACCACCTTCGACCATCTTCATATTGAATAACTTCTTGATCAATTGTACCTTGTTCGTGGCAGAAGGCTGTTCATACATACTAGAAAGGGCTACCATGAGAGACTTCGTCGTCTTCTCATTCTTAATATTGAAGGCAACTGACTTTGACAACGTCAATCTGACGGTGCCAAGAGCCTTCCTATCAAGTAATTCCCATTCTGCATCCTTTGTATCCTCTGGCTTCTCTCCTAAAGGTCGATACAGATTTTTCTGAAACAAGAGGTCATCTATTTGCATCTTCCAGAAATCGAAGTTTGTGCCATCGAACTTCTCGATCATGGATGTGGATGTCTTATCTTTTGATGCCATTGCCATTACTCCCACTCAAACGGACAGATCTGATCGAAAGAATTTCAGAATTTCGTCAAACACCTTATGTGCCCTAGGTTCTCAACCAAAGGCTCTGATACCAGTTGTTAGAGTTGCAGTACACAACCAACCGAATTTGATTCCAGTTGTTGTGACGGAAACGCAAAATAATAACGCACGTTGTTCGAGGAATAATTAAGCAATCACAAAGAAAAAAAAATCACGCACAAGAACACAAGATATACATGGTTCACACAAATCTTAGGGCTACGTCCATGGAGCACACCGAACAAATTCACTATGAAAAAGATAAAAAATTACAAGGAGAATTCTCTCTCAATCTCTCTCAATTGCTCTCTCTTGTATTGGCACACCTTTATTTATAACTTTCACCCCTATTTATAGAGTTCCAAACTTGTCCTACAAGAACTTGCCTTTTGTAGAATCCAAAACTAATAAGGAAATTAAATCAAATTAGGAAACTAAATTTTCCTTAAACCAACAAGGAAGTCAAATCAGATTAAGAAACTGAATTTTCCTTAACAGATTAGAAAACTGAATTTTCCCTAAAATTCAGTACTCTTGAAGTTTTCATATAATTAAATCTTTCTAAAAATCTTTCACCTAATCAGACTCCACAAAACCGTAACATTAGTCAACAAGCTATTGTTTAAATGCATAAACCAGTCTATTTTCCAGAGAACACACTAGTGTTAATTCAAGAATGCATTGGTTTCGATGAACATGGAAAATGCAGTTATCTGGGATAACATCCCAGGTATAATTTCAGAAGTATCTGGAACATGAATTCATTTTGAAAAGAAAATTAACCGAATTCAAGAGACCATGCACAAGATAAAAGAATATTACATCCTATACGAGTGACGTTCTGATATACCAGGGTGCAACAGAATTACATCGGATGTTGTCCTTTGCCCATTCACAAGCCAAATTCTTTGTCAGTTGATTTATTGCACCAGCAAGCAGCAAAGAGAAGCAGAAAGCCTGTAAATTCACATCCATCCGGGTTCACATTTTCATACTAATGCAACAGAAAGGGACCAGTCATGATGGTTACCTTTAGTTGCTCCATATATGGATCCAGAAGAAGTGTGCACCAGACCAGCAACAGAGGAAATGAAGACAATGCTTCCAACTCCAGATGCTTTTACAAGAGGATATGCAAGTTGACATAAATGGTAAGTAGATTCAAAGTTGGTAGCCATCAGTTTCGAATATTCTTCAGCTGTATACTCAGCGGTTTTCTTTATTATGTTTGTCCCAACATTGTTTATCTACAGGCAGAAGATAGGTGAGATTCAAAATGGTTGAGTATATGATTTAAAGTGATGCTATCTGATTAGAGCATAGAAAATTTATCAAAGATTTCTGTCAAGAACATTTTGAAAATTGACTATGAAAAGCAAATTGTATCAAATAAAGCGTGTGTGTGTATATATAAAAAGTTATAAACGTATATTTGTGTAACAATTGAATGGGGCTAATCTAATGTATGTATAAAACTGGAGACTGTGTTGTGACTTACAAGGATGTTGAGCTTGCCAGTGAAAAGAGAAGACACGTTTTCCATGAGCTGTAGGCGTTGGTCTTGAGACGATACATCACAGAGCGAACCGGTGACTGCGAAACCCTTACCGGTCCATTCTTGCAAGCAATGGTTGAGCTCAGCTTCTTTGCGAGAACAAGTGTGTACCGTAGCCCCTAATTCAGCTAGTTCCTCCACAATCGCATGCCTGAACACATCGAATCAAATCAAATCAATCAAAACCTTAGAGAGAATTTCAAGAGCGATTAGATCAAGAATCATTAATCAGATTGAAAAATTATATATATAGATTGAGAGAGAGACCCGATTCCACGAGTGCCACCAGTGACAAGAGCGTTCATTCCGATGAGAACCCATCGCGAAGATCCGTAGCTGCTCTCTACCTTCGCCACTTCTTCTCTCTCTTCTCTGCTGCTGCAACCACTAGTAGGAGTATATTTTTTAAAAGGTTCACGCTTTTGGCGGCATTCGCAGCTTTGTTGATTGATTGGATTACCTACCAAACCCACCACATTTTGTTGGGCTCAAATCCTCTGCTGTGAGTTACCTTGCAGTCCTCTGCTGTGAGCTGATGAAAGGCCTTAGTTTGGCCACGTGTGCTTCAGTTTGTAATATGTCTATGGGCTCCACTAAAATGGTGCAAAACGCATTATTCCGTTAAATCTGCCTTCTGTTAAACATCCATCTCTCGGCATCTCTGAAAAAGCCCAAAAGAGCCGGCTCTACAAATTAATTGAGCCGTCTCCAAAAAATTAGGTTGAGCCGTCTCCACATTTCTTCTTGAGCCGGCTGTCCATTATTTTTTTTTTCTTTTATTTTTATTTTTTTTTGCTTGGCAAGGAGCCGGCTCTAAAAATTCTGATCACAGGAACTCTGATCACCTTCACCATCAAAATAAGTTATTAACACAGTTCTGTAAAACTAATTTCACACCTCTGTAAAACTAATTTGACACCTAAATTTAACATTTTTTAATTCTTTCATTTGTCATCTGTTAGTGTAAATTATGATATTTTTCTACTTGAAATTGACATTGGTTAAGCATTCTAGCATATTTGAAATGTTGGATAATTGTAGGATTTTTTTCTATAATCTTCAATAACCATTCTAGTGAATGTAAAATCTTACATAATTGTTTTTTTTAACTGAGTTGGCTTCATTAGGTACCAATTTGTTATCCAAATATTTTTTCTTCTCATGTATGCGGCAATTACACATTTCACAGGTTATTATGTGACATTTATGAGAAAAAATACATTGTGAAGTTTAATAAGTAGGGACACTGATTACCTTCACCATCAAAATAAGCTATTTACACAGTTCTACTAAACTAATTTCACACCTCTGCAAAACTAATATCACACCTAAATTTAACATTTTTTAATTCTTTCATTTGTCATCCATTAGTGTAAATTATGATTTTTTTTTACTTGAAATTGACATTGGTTAAGCATTCTAACGTATTTGAAATATAGCGTAATTGTAAAATTTTCTTCAATAATCTTCAATAACTATTCTAGTGAATGTAAAATCTTCCGTAATTGTTTTTTTTTTTTTTAACTGAGTTGGCTTCATTACGTACCAATGTGTTATCCAAATATTTTGTCTTCTCATGTATGCGGCAATTACACATTTCACAGGTTATTATGTCATATTTCTAAGAAAAAATACATTGTGAAGTTTAATAAATAGGGACACTGATCACCTTCACCATCAAAATAAGCTATTCACACAGTTCTACAAAACTAATTTCACACCTAAATTTAACATTTTTTAATTCTTTCATTTGTCATCCGTTAGTGTAAATTATAATATTTATTTACTTGAAATTGACATTGGTTAAGCATTATAGTGTATTTGAAATATTGGATAATTGTAAGATTTTCTTCTATAATCTTCAATAACCATTCTAGTGAATGTAAAATCTTCCATAATTATTTTTTTTAACTGAGTTGGCTTCATTAGGTATCAATGTGTTATCCAAATATTTTGTCTTCTCATGTATGCGGCAATTACGCATTTCACAGGTTATTATGTGATATTTATGAGGAAAAAAATATTGTGAAGTTTAATAAGTAAGGACACTGATCACCTTCACCATCAAAATAAACTATTCACACAGTTCTGTAAAACTAATTTCACACATCTGCAAAACTGATTTCACACCTAAATTTAATATTTTTTAATTCTTTCATTTGTCATTTGTTAGTGTAAATTATGATTTTTTTTTTACTTGAAATTGACATTGGTTAAGCATTCTAGCGTATTTAAAATCTTCGATAATTGTACGATTTTCTTCTATAATCTTCAATAACCATTCTAGTGAATGTAAAATCTTGCATAATTGTTTTTTTTTTTTTTAACTGAGTTGGCTTCATTAGGTACCAATGTGTTATCCGAATATTTTGTCTTCTCATGTATGCGGCAATTACACATTTCACAGGTTATTATGTCACATTTATGAGAAAAAATACATTGTGAAGTTTAACAAGTAGGGACACTGATCACCTTCACCATCAAAATAAACTATTTACACAGCTCTGCAAAACTAATTTCACACCTAAATTTAACATTTTTAAATTCTTTCATTTGTCATCCGTTAGTGTAAATTATGAATTTTTTTTTCTTGAAATTGACATTAGTTAAGCATTCTAGCGTATTTGAAATCTTGGTTAATTGTAGGATTTTCTTCTATAATCTTCAATAACCATTGTAGTGAATGTAAAATCTTCCATAATTGTTTTTTTTTTTAACTGAGTTGGCTTCATTAGATACCAATGTGTTATCTAAATATTTTGTCTTTTCATGTATGCGGCAATTACACATTTCACAGGTTATTATGTCACATTTATGAGAAACAATACATTGTGAAGTTTAATAAGTAGGGACACTGATCACCTTCACCATCAAAATAAGCTATTCACACAGTTCTGTAAAACTAATTTCACACCTCTGCAAAACTAATTTCACACCTAAATTTAATATTTTTTAATTCTTTCATTTGTCATCCGTTAGTGTAAATTATGATTCTTTTTACTTGAAATTGGCATTGGTTAAGCATTCTAGCGTATTTGAAATCTTGGATAATTCTAAGATTTTCTTCTATAATCTTCAATAACCATTATAGTGAATGTAAAATCTTCCATAATTGTTTTTTTTTTTTAACTGAGTTGGCCTCATTAGATACCAATGTGTTATCCAAATATTTTGTCTTCTCATGTATGTGGCAATTACACATTTCACAGGTTATTATGTCAAATTTATGAGAAAAAATACATTGTGAAGTTTAATAAGTAGGGACACTGATCACCTTCACCATCAAAATAAGCTATTCACACAGTTCTGTAAAACTAATTTCACACCTCTACAAAACTAATTTCACACTTAAATTTAACATTTTTTAATTCTTTCATTTGTCATCCGTTAGTGTAAATTATGATTTTTTTTACTTGAAATTGACATTAGTTAAGCATTCTAGCGTATTTGAAATCTTGGTTAATTGTAAGATTTTCTTCTATAATCTTCAATAACCATTCTAGTGAATGTAAAATCTTCCATAATTATTTTTTTTTAACTGAGTTGGCTTCATTAGATACCAATGTGTTATCCAAATATTTTGTCTTCTCATGTATGCGGTAATTACACATTTCACATGTTATTATGTCATATTTATGAGAAAAAAATACATTGTGAAGTTTAATAAGTAGGGACACTGATCACCTTCACCATCAAAATAAGCTATTCACACAGTTCTAACAAACTAATTTCACACCTTTGCCAAACTAATTTCACACCTAAATTTAACAGCTCTTGGGATTTAATGGAGCCGGCTCTTGAAGTTCAATGGAGCCGGCTCTAAGTTGTTGAGCCGGCTCTTTGAGTTGGCAGCCGGCTCATAATAAATATGGAGCTGGCTCTCAGAATTTTTAGAGCCGGCTCCTTGCCAAGCAAAAAAAAATAAAAATGAAAGAAAAAAAAAATAATGGACAGCCGGCTCAAGAAGAAATGTGGAGACGGCTCAACCCAATCTTTTGGAGACGGCTCAATTAATTTGTAAAGCCGGCTCTTTTGGGCTTTTTCAGAGATGCCGAGAGATGGATGTTTAACGGAAGGCAGATTTAACGGAATAATGCATTTTGCACCATTTTACTGGAGCCCACAGACATATTACAAACTGAAGCACACGTGGCCAAACTAAGGCCTTTCATCAGCTCACAGCAGGGGACTGCAGGGTAACTCACAGCAGGGGATTTGAGCCCCATTTTGTTTTAGGGGTGGGACCAGGAAATCCAAGTCCGATTGATGCACCAAATGACAACAAATAATTAGGGTAAATTCATTGTTTTGAGGTTTGGGTGTCAGGCTGTCAGCTCAACAACTCCCCCTCAGTCAAAAATTGTAAAAATGTAATAAAATAACCGATTTGCCTTTACAGTCCATTTTTTTTTATTTATTTACAATTTTTTTTTTTTAAGAGAGGGTAACCGCGTTGGAGAGTTGAGAGAAAGTAATAATAGAGATGAGATGAAAAATTGATTGTTTTTTTAGAGGGATATTTGCATTATATTTTTCTTTAATTATATTTATAAAAAAAATAACAAAAAAGTCCTTAAATTTATTAATATACTATGTCTTATTTTATTATGTCATAACTGTTCTTTATACAATTTATTTTTATTTTTTATTTGTTTACCTTCTTTAGTTTCTTTACTATTTTTTTTTTTTCCATTCTATACTTTCTTTTTGTTTTGGAAGTCCTCTCAAAAGAGATAATTTATTCCATATTGATTATTTTATTTTTGGCATTTAATAGAGATAATTTATTCAATAGTGACTTTTTTTATTGCGATTAAAATAAATAATTTATTCAACAAAGTTAAATCTTTTTTTTTCAGTCATGTCAAAAGAGGTAACTTTTTTGTGACAATTCAGATTTTTAAGATTTAATTTATAATTTCATTTCATTTCATGATTTTTGGTTGTTAAAATTGGATATTTAAATTTTAAATGGGATATTTACTCAATTAGAGATTCGATTATTGATTATTTAATTAAAGTGTTACATCTTATATTTTTTTTTTTTGTAAAAGTAGCAGGTGGCGACCGAAAATTTAAGGAAGAGGATTAATATTGTGATGATTTTTCTACGGGCCCCACCAAGAGAAATGGGTTTTGATTTGTTATATATATATATATATATATATATATATATATATAGAGAGAGAGAGAGAGAGAGAAAGAGAGAAAAGTGCAAAAAAAAACCCCTAAACTATGGAGGTTTTACAACTAACCCTCCTGAACTACAAAAAACCCCCCTGAACTTTCACTTTTTTGCAATTTGCCCACTCAAGCCACCGGAAAAGATAAAAGATAGTTTTATCCTTATTCAAAACTACGTCGTTTCTATCTCCCTCTCTTTATTTGTGTGTGTGTGTATATATATATATATATACTATAAGAGACACAGAGAGGAGAGGGAGCACATCGATCTCGCCGGCCATGTAACACCCCCGGATTTCCGGATGCGGGTTGGCCAGGCCCACGCCCGATTACCCGAGGATATCAAAACAATTAGCAATTTAATGAACACAAAATACAATATAGAAAACAAGAATAAATAAAATTTTGCTGGAAAGAACCTAGAATGATAATCCAATAATTGAAAACCTCAGAATAAATAATTTCATTGATAATTAAAACTATTTTGATACAACTGATCCACCACGAATGGAAATCGTTCTCCAATTTATACAACTCGGGAATCCATCTAGTGGACCCCTAAAATATCCAATGGTACTCAAAAGACTGGAACAAAACCCAAGTCTTAACATGAAATAAAATCCTACGCCATCAGTAGAGTGAATAACTGTATCTGCTCAGCACGATCAAGCTCTACAGCCCAGAACTGACGAACACCTGAAAAAATGATAAAAGGGTGGGTCAGGCCCACGAGCAAGTTCTAATCTAACTGCAATCCATACAGTGACCTGATACGCAGATACACCATAGATACCTCACAATATCTATCTAGTCCATACATATATATATACACACTATGGGACATTCACTGAACTACAGTAGGGATCTCAACCTGAATAGAAGGCAACATGCGAATACGCACCCAAAGGTGGGCATGAGTACCTAGACCTAACAGGGTACACCCAACCTACTATAACCAGCTACACATCCACTGCATATACGCACCCTAACCAACAAGTTTGAGACTCAAGCTCAACTCGTGGTACCATAAACATATATATCTAAACTCCGTTCCTAACCATTCACAAGAAATCCAATAAGTCATTCGGCGTATTCAACCGTACCGACTTATATATATATAAGGAGGATTTATTTAACAACCCGTTCCCTTATTCCAAAATAGGTAGGACTGAGTATTTTAAATCAGTCTGTCCCTAGTATGCCACCGTCCCATACCGGTGCATACAATCCACAAAGTCCATATAATTGATAGAACCAGTCATACTGTTCACCAATTAAAATCCATAAGGTAGGAATTAGCATTTTGAGCTAAACCATACCTAGTATGCCACCGTCCCATACCGGTGCATACCATCCTCCATATCCATGTAAATTACAACATTCAAATGATAAGCAAGTAATTTACAATGCAAAACCATTCCCAGATAATTGACAGAATTTTAATGTGAGAATTCAGCAATTAAAATCCAATACATAATTCCAAATAATTGGTCAAATTTAATATAAGAATTCCGCAATTATAATCCAATATATGATTCCAAATAATTGACCGAATTAAGTATAAGAATTCAGCAATTATGTTCCAATACATAATTCCAGGTAAATTACAAGGCATAAATAATAAGCACGTAATTTATAGTCCAAAACCAACCATCCACATCGTTGCAGAATAGTATTGAGTATTTCAACAACTTAAAACCAAAACCATGTAAATTACAGACTACGAATGATAGTACAGCAATTTAAAATCCAAAACCAATATCCAATTAATTACCGAAGATTTTTAAATGTTTCAGCAATTTAAATCCAAACAATTAACCATATAGTTGCAGGGGATGATTTAATAAATCAACAACTAACATCCAGAGCCTGCATAGATTACATCTAACACATCAATGACCCTATAATATATTTAAGACCATTTTATAAATATATTACATCCCACTCGAATGCCTAAAAATAAGCTTAAGCATTTAAAACTTCATCCATCCACCAACCGTATACAATTGTACATAAGTGTTATACAGTTTGATCCGTTAATTTAGAATTAACCTTAAATTAATTTAGGGTCTTAATAACACCCAAAAATTAACTATTTAATCCCTCCGTGAAGTCTCATTAAATTTCTAAAATTTAATCAAGCCATTCAGTTCCTTTCTCTGTTAGTAGCATACACCGTTGTATATTTTTACACTGCTTCATCCTTTGTCTTAAAGACTTAAACCATGCAACATTAAGTTTAATAACACTTAAAATTAACTACTTAGATCCTCTGTTAAGTCCCTACAGTTCATTAGAATCACTCAAAAGCTCAAACAGTGCTCAAAACACCAAACAGAGCCCTAAAATCACTTTCTGGACGTAACAACAAATTGGAGCCGGCTCTTGGAATGGAAGAGCCGGCTCTTCCCCTATTGGAGCCGGCTCCAATCCCCTAGGAGCCGGCTCTTGCTGAAGGGGAGTCGGCTCTTGACTTTCTAGAGCCGGCTCTCTCCCTCTTGAGAGCCTCCAGTTCAGTCTCTGCTCCGTTTTTACCTATCTGCTCGTTCTCTGGTCCGTCCCTACCCTTCTGTTTATTTCTTAAACTGATCTTAAGGGTTTATTATCACTCTATTAACATCTCCAAGGTTTGATTACAGTAATTTAAAACAATTACAAAGCTTAAGGTTGCTATTGAACTTACCAAGCTTTTAGTATCAAAACTGAAACTATATGCAGAAACAGAAACGGAACAGATTGCACACGTATTTAAAACAGAATAATAACATCCCTATGAGTTTTGTATAACCCCAGTAGAGTTCCTATATTGTCTCTACAAGAGTTGCAGTCAAATACAGAAACTAAGGCTACGATGGAAACCATATGCTTAAAGTACAGAAAACTGAAACACCACTTGCATACACTGTAACAGATATTGATTTCAACACATACAGACCAACAATATAACACGTAATAAACATATCAATTCCAGTTTCTGCTTGATTAAACCCTAGAGATTATCTAGGTGCACAGAACACGGCCCAAAGGGAAAGAGGAAGATAGAACTTGCCTGAATAGGTTTGCAAACAAACCCTTGTTGCCGTTTCTCTCAGTTTTGTTTCGACATCCACTGAACTTGTCTAACCTCCTAGAACCTCTGCTCATTCTTTCTCCTTGGTTAAACTTTGGAACCCCAGTCGAAATTCTCACAAACTGCTCTGTTCTCACCAAAACTCCCTCTGTAACTCTCTCTATTTGGCAGACTTTTCCGTGTAAAAGCTACGACAATATGTAATCCTAGGTTTAACATATACTGAGGTATTTATAATTGCAAGATTAAAACCCTAATCCACAGAGCCCTAACTTCGTTGGCCCACAAAGTAACCCAGTTTAGTTACATATCAGATGCTTATAAGACGGCTCCAAAAACCCTAACTAAAACGTATCTAAAACCCTAGTTAATGGGAATTACATAATTACCCTGTTCAAAAATTAAATACTTAATAAATATTTAATTTAATAAAACCCATTAATTAAATCAAATAAGCAAGCAACGAATCACTTAAAACACATAAAATAAATAAAACAATTAATTAAAATAAACCAACAAATAAAGAATTACACCCTTAATTAAAATAAATAAACAATTAAAAAAAATAACACAATGAATTAAAATAAACAAACAATTGGACACATAAGCATATAGATACAAAATCAATTTAAAATGCACACAAATAAAATTTAAATTCCATTTTTATCCCTTTTGAAATTAGGGGTATTACATTCTCCCCCCCTAACAAATGGAATTCCGTCCTCGGAATTCACGAAACTCTGAATTAGTTTGATTAAACTTTTTACTCCATTCCGTCGTGGATTCTGCCTCCGTGTAAGGGCTCCACTGATTTCCAAATCCGTAAAGAAAAATATATATGTCCGATATACATGACACACAAAAATTATCCAACATGTAAGTTGTATTTAACAACTACTCATCCGTACCCAAATTTTGATATAGGGTAGAGGTCCATATTCCTACAAGTTCCATAACATAGATATGTAAAAC